AAAAAAATAAAAAAGACAGAATTTAAAGCTGAGTTTTGTTTATCCCCCTATAACTTTTACAATTTAATATTATATATTATTATTATTTTATTAAATAAAATGGTTTACTTATAATATTTGAAATATATTTATCCCCAACATTTTTTAAATTTTTATTTTTTAAATTTACGAATTACTTCTATAATAGGTATTTGCGCATTAAATAAATTGAAAATTTATTTTTTTAGTAAAATATTTATCGAAGCAATTGAATAATAGAATTAATGAAAAGTTGCATTAATAAATAAAAAAATGGTTCCCATAAAAATATAGGCCGTCTTGGATATGACGATAGAAAATTACATTCGGTTTTACCTCTTAAAATAAATTGTTCCCAGATCAACTCTGAAATATATTTTATGTAAACCTGTTAGTAAAATGCCAGCATTAATTTTCATAATAAAAAATTATAAAGAAATACATTTAATATATTGTAAAAAAAAACCAGCAATACATTTTGCAAAATAAATTATTAATGCTCCCAAGAAAAATAAATTTCGGCATTAAATGATCCATTTTATTGGATATTTATTTAATGAAACAAATCAATCATCTTCAAAGTTCCCAAGAAAATTAAATTTTGGCATTAAATGACCCATGAAGATGTTGATACGCCGTTACAGAAACCAATCAATCAATCATCTTCAAAGCTCCCAAGAAAATTAAATTTCCTCATTAAATGGCCCATAAAGGTGTTGATACGCAGTTAAACAATCAATTAATCAACATCAAATATCCCAAGAAAATTAAATTCCGGTATTAAATGATCCATAAAGGTGTCGATAAGCCATTAAACAATGAACTTCAAATCTCCTAAGATAATTAATTTTGGTAATAAATGACTCATAAATGTGTTGATATACTGTTAAAATAATTAGTTAATCAATCAACTTGCAAAATCCAAGAAAATTAAATTTCGGTATTAAATGATCCATAATGGTGCAGATACGCCGTTCAATCAATCATCTTCAAAACTCCCAAGAAAATTAAATTTTGGTATTAAATGACCCATAAAGGTGTTGATACGCCGTAAAAAAAGTCAATCAATCAACTTGAAAGCTCCCAAGAAAATTAAATTTCGATATTAAATGACCCATAATGCTGTTGATATACCGTTAAACAAACAAATAAATAGTTCAGATATGAATTATCCACTATAATAACTTCTACTGAACTCCGCTTTTTTTCATGGAAGAAGCCGAAATTACGAACAGTAATAAAAATGAAAGAAAGTTTCGATGAATCGCAATTTCGGGGCCAAACAGTTTCAGAACAAGCAAATTCAATTTGTTCCATAAAAAACCTGATTTCTGAAAATATCCATTAAGTAGGCAAATGCTCAAGGAAAAGTCACCGCCTTCATTTGTCCAGGCTTAATGTTTTAGGAATTGAAGAGAGAGAGAGAGACCGTGCATCTCCTTTGCTTATTTGTTTTCTAGACATTCTTTTCAATTTCAAAACGTTAGACGTGTAAATAAGTCTAAAGTTACATGTAAACCCTTCAAGATTTTTTTTATGAAGGATTCGTGAGAAACATTTCTGTACAAAAATGTCAATGAATTTATCATTTTTAAGAGAGCATTTTTGCGAACACTAATTTTATCAATTTCAACTTCAATTATTTTGGAAAAAACGTTTCATTTTCAGATTATCTTATTTGTTTTCAATATAGTAACTAAGAAACTTGAAGTACCCATATATATATATTTTAACATCACTACCTGAATGAGTTAACAATTGGCCTCGTTTCAAGCTTAGAAGGTCATAAAAAGAATCAAGATCGACGTATAAGCACACCTTATGTATTTGGATTTTTGAATTTTTATGTTTTTGAACGTGTTTATTCGAGTATGTCTGAAATATGGATTTAAAGTAAAAACGTATACTTCATTTTATTTAATACTGGAAATATATATATTGTAATTAAATGACCAATAATGGTGTTGATATACCGTTAAACAAACAAATAAATATTTCAGAACGAATTAAGAATTTAAAATAAACTTCTACAGAACTCCGTTTTTTTTTGCATGTGACGACAACGTGATAATGCTAAACGGAAAATGATCATTTTAAAATTTTCAGTTATCTGTTTTGGATAAGACTTGTTTTTTATGTCCATCGTCTTTGTCAAATTAAACTGAATTGTATTTTAATGAATATTGTCTTGAAAAGGTTTATTAAACCGAAACGTCAGACGTCGACATTTCATTCATTTTAAACAACATAATTGCATTTAAGGATTTTTGGTTTGTTTTTTATAAATTTTCTTATATATATATATATATATATATATATATATATATAATAAAAAGGCTTAAACACTAATATTCCATGGTCATAATTTATTCCATTGGAATCGTAAATACGATCCAATTCATCAGACCTACAAATTCAAAAAGAAAACAGAAAAAAACAACTCCGGAAATAAAAACAAATTTAGAGAATTTAGTATGAGAGT